AATACTCCCATGACATGTGGTTTATTAAAATTTTTAAAGTTATAATGATTTTTTGATGTAGATCAAATTAAGTCGAAGCTTTTTAACTATTTGTATTGACAAAACTATGTAGGTAAACTTTAAGCTGGATAAGAAAAACTACCATATTTTTAAATACCATATTATACAGTATTTTAAATAATCCAAAATACTTATTTATTTTGGTCAAAATAAATTTTTCTAACCTTAAAATTACAAAATTAGATAATATTTTTGTTATAATATATTAACCCACCTTTAATACAGATATTCCATAATAGAGAAGCTAGATTTTTTTAAATAAATGCTGTTTAGTTAAAATTATTTTATGGAGAAAACCAGATATTTGGACCAAATGCACAAAAAATCACTTATTTGGCACCATACACTTTAGAATTTCATTAAATGCAAAATTTATATTCTTAAATTTTTAAACCATCCATTGTTATTCTAATGTTATAAAGATTTATAAATTTTTAACGACTAAACATAATATTATTTCTTTCGTTGACTATACTTTGACAGATACATAACCTGAAAAGCCTTAAATGCCAAATTTTCAAAAGACGTTCCGTACGTGGTCACGTGGTGGGACTTTGAGTTTTGGAGCATAGTACATTAAAAATATAAATAGCATACAAGGTGTCCAAAAACAATATTTCTTTTTAGGATAAAATTGAAATTGATCCCGACTAAAAACGATATTTTCAATTAAACCAGATATAGGTAGGTACAACTCATCAAGAATAGCAAGATACTTGAGAAACACGCCGTTTGCAATTGAGAAAATCTACATTGTATTTTTAAATTAAATTTAAATTTAATAATGGATGAAATATTGTATCAATAAATAGGATTATACAGGGTGTTATGTAATTAATGTAATATATTAAAATACTGAATACCTTTTGACATAAGGTGTAACGAAAAATATAAAAAAAATGTTTTCCCAAAGATAAAAAAAAAATATGCATTAGAAGTTTTTTATATTTTTTGTGATACGCCACTGGTTACACACTTGTGTTCTGTGAGTACATAGATACCAACCAACAAAGTAGCTGCGCGTTGCCAGTTGTAAAAAATTGTTACTAAAAATTTTTCTTGCAAAAAATAAATAAAAACTCAATAAATGCACATGTTTTATGCCCTTAAAGCTCTAATACCCTTCTGTATTTATTTACTCATCCAGCTATTAGCTTAAGCAATGATTAGAAAATTTAGTACCTATTTTAAAAACTACATAACCACAAAATTAATTTTTTCATCGGTTTTTTTCTTTTTGTTTACTTAGATGAAATTAGGACAAGTTCACAGGTTAAACTTTAAACCTTCAATTTGTGTAAATAAATCCAAAAGCACTTCCCTTAGTTACGATATTTACAATTTGAACACATAACCTAAAATTTGAAAGAAATGGTAACCATAGATAACAAAGCCACAATAAATTAAATTAGGCAACCAGATTAGCATAAAGTTCCTAGTCGATCAGTGGCGTACTTTTTGGTAGGATAAATGTTATTATAAATTATTTTTAATCTTTAGAATTTAGAGAAAAAAGTTTTAGGTGCTTCTTAATGGACCCTAAGGAACTACCCATTTACATATATTACATTAATATCATAACACCCTGCTTAAGGTAGGTAAAATTAATGCAAATAAAAGTAGGACACCCAACAAAAAAAGGCAACATCTGCACCAAAAACCAAATTGAATGATAGAGAAGTACTTTGTCGACTCAAAATTAATTTCTACGTCACCTAAATAAACTTCCAACCTTACGGAGAATTCAGAGAAACCCTGAATTGATATACAAATCAGTTTTATAATTAAATTATTTTAAACTCTTTATTCACACAATTTTACGTGGGTTTCATAAAGGTCGTTCCTTACAGTTTTAAAAGAGCATTTCTTACATTTTAAAGAGTTGGTTGCAACGTCGACTTTCTTTTCAAGTATGTTTTGTTCTTTATGAGTGCAAAAAACATGCTTTTGCAGTTCACAAGGTTTGGTTGCTTTTAGGTTGCAATAAGGGCATGTTAAGTTTTCATCGACATGATTTTTAAGGTGCAAAATATATTCTTCTTGGTTTTTCGTCTTAAAAGGACATTGCACACATTTTATATCTACGAGGACTTTTGGGGCTAAACAGGAACTTAAATGCCTTTCCATCGCTTGTTTAAAAACTGTGGAATATGAACACTTTGTGCAATTATGAGTTGTAATATGAATTTTCTTTTCAACGTCGTTTTGTAGTTTGTGTTTGCAGAACACGTGTCTTTGTAAGCCTTTTTTTACTTGTTTATTACAATAAGGACACGTTTCATAGGAACTTAAATGCCTTTCATACATTATTTTAGACGCTGTGACAAATGAACAATTTGGACAACTGTAGATTTTAAGATTTATATGAACTTTCTTTTCAACGACGTTTTGTTTTCTGTGTTTGAAGATCACGTGTCTCTGTAAGGATGTCTTTTGTCGTACGCCTTTATTACAATACGGACATTTTATCCTCTCTTTTTTTTGTTTGAGACAGGATTTATCATGTGATTTATATACTGTTAAATTGACTGTAGCGAACCTACAATTTTTACACTCGTATATGGTATCAGTAATGGCTATTTTCTTCTCAACATCATTTTGTTTTCTGTGTTTGCAAATCACGTGTACTTGTAAACCTTTTGTCGATCTAAACAAATTTTTACAATAAGGACATTTTTCAAGTGTCATATTAGAACCCAAACAATTTTTTAGATGTTGCTTGTATGCCTCAGGCTGTACTGTTGCGAATGTACAGTTATTGCAAGTTACTATTTTGTGAATGAATTTAATTTCCTTTTTCATAGCATTGATTTCCATATGTTCACTTAGCACATGCTCTTCCAATGGCAAAAACCTTGTGGCTGTAAAGCTACAATACGGACAACAATAGCTATATTTTTTGGTCCCATGAGGTAATATTGTATGAGATAGATATTTTTTAACATCCGTTGTACCAAATTCACAACATTTACAATTGTATTTCTTTTGGTTTTCATCCTCCATGCTTTCTGGTTCTTCTTCTGCTGGCTCAATAGAATATTCCCTAAAACAAGCCTATTTTAGTTTTTGAATAATTTGAAATTTAATTTATTGGCAGTGAAATTTGAAATATAAGCTTTTTAATTTTAACCTTTTTTAATATAGGTACCTAATATACATTAGAAATAGAATTTAAAAATTATATATTATTGTAACGTTTTTGTTGTTCGTAGTGTGAATTAAAACACGCACTGGTTTATTAACGAACTTAACGATTTATTTTATAACTTAATTACACTTAAAACACTAAGAAACTATAAAACTAACTAAACACTTAACTACTAATTATTTATATATCTCTACTGTACAAGAATCTATTTATTTGCACGTATATTTAATTTATTTCGTTGCGAGTACCAAAGCTTGACTAACCCTCCATGCTGCGCCTTCTCGAACATTTCAGCGAGCTCCACACCGCTCTCGATTGTTTGAGAGCTGACTCATCATTCCGAAATCAAGAGCGGTACCCGCTACATTATTATATTACAGGAATTAAATTTTTACAAAAACTTTCCAGAAAAAGTATCTGGCAAGTCTTGAAAATTATACATATTGGATGAACCCCCATCATTGGATAAATTCCTTCTATTTCTGCAGATTCAATATTTTTCTGATTTAACCGGTTTTTGTAGGTTATAAATAAAAATCTTGGTAATAATTAAATTAAAAATTTATTTTAAATAACGCAATGCGAAATACAAAACTATATATTTTTTGACAAAATTTTCTATTTGAGTGTACAAGGTGTCCCAAAATATTGTTTCTTTTTAGTACCTATATAAATAAAATGTAAAAAATTAATGAAAATTGGAATGGACCTTTCTTTTGACATTCTAAAGAAGTTTAAAAGTCACCATGAATAAAGTGTCTTGTCTCAAGATATTGGAGGTGAAATGTAGAAAATATCGTATGCAAAAATTATTACGTATCACAGTATATGGTGCAAGTGCTAAAAACGTAAAAAATAGAATTTAAAAGCGAAAACGCTTTTCGCCTATGACAGTGGCAGTGACAGTTCTATATGCAGTGTTATTTAAAATCTGAAAATGAGTTGTAAAAATGAATGAAGTCCACTACAACAAATTATTATTAAAAATAAATAACGAAATTATGGTATTCACCAAATAAACCAACAATCATTAATTTTATTCCAAACTAAGATAACATACCGCTGGTCGTTTTTTTCTATTTTTCGTTGTAATGTATTGTTTTGTATTTTTTTTATTGTAATTTCATGTAGATTTATACTTTTTAACCAAATATATTTATTTAATTTATTTTTAATTTTGAATATCGTTTATTATTTCAAAACTGTGACGTTAACAATTTATATGGAACTTCTACGTAAGTGTATGTTTTGTATTTTTTTTTATTGTAATTTCATGTAGATTTATACTTTTTAACCAAATATATTTATTTAATTTATTTTTAATTTTAAATATCGTTTATTATTGCCAAACTGTGACGTTAACAATTTATATGGAACTTCTACGTAAGTGTATGTTTTGTATTTTTTTTATTGTAATTTCATGTAGATTTATACTTTTTAACCAAATATATTTATTTAATTAATTTTTAATTTTAAATATCGTTTATTATTGCAAAACTGTGACGTTAACAATTTATATGGAACTTCTACGTAAGTTTATACGAAAAAAAATGCTATAATTTTAAGAATATATTATCTGAATATATTGCGACGCAGACACGTGATTAATGGTGACTTTAGAAAATCCAAAGAATGGTCCTTAGAAATGTTTAGCTTATTGTATCTTATTTCAAAGCTGAATACTTATTTGACTTGACTAAAACTCAAATAAACCTCGATCGCCTCAAAATTATATTTTGCGACACTCTGTAGGTCTACAAATTAATACCACACTTTTTGGGAAGCAGTTTACCTACTGAAGCCATTTATGTTTATCATAGTAAACTATAATAAAGGACATCCATTACACATATTTACATGAGTTAAATAAACGTCGGTCCTTACTGTATTGAAAGAGCATTTTTTACAATTTAAAGAGGTGACGGCAACCTCGACCTTATTTTCAACTGTATTTTGTTGCTTATGCATGGAAAAAACATGCTGTTGTAGTTCGCGAGCTTTTTCAGTTTTCAATTCGCAATAAGGGCACGTTAAGTTTTCATCAATATGTTTTTTATGGTGCAAAATATATTCCTGTTTGATTTTGGTTTTAAAAGGGCATTGCAAACATTTTATATCAGGGATGATTTTGGGGATCGTCGAGCAGGATTTCAAATGCCTTTCTTGCACTTTTTTAAACATCGTGACGAATGAACAATTCGGGCAGTTGTGTGTTTTAAGATTCATAGGAATTTTCTTTTCAACGTCGTTTTGTTCCTTATGCTGGGAAATGACGTGTCCTTGTAAGCTCAAGTTCGTCTTCAATTGTATATTACAGTAGGGACATTTTCTGTCTTTATGAAGTTTATGATGTAGTATAAAATCTTGCTCTATATTAGTTGTGTAGAGGCATAGGGAGCACTTTAATCCTTCTACAATTACGGGAGTACCCAAACAGGAAATAATATGTTTTCTAAAGATGTGTAAATACATCGTGGTGAACTCGCAATTCGTACAATTATATATTTTAAAAGTTATCTCGATCTTCTTTTCCAAACTATTTTGTTCTTTATGTTTGGTGAACACATGCCCTTGCAGACTATATTTCGACTTGAATTTGATTTCGCAGTAGGGACAAATTATTTCTTTTACATTAGGGTCGAAACAGTTCTGTATATGTTTGTTAAACGTATAAGGCTTCACAGTGGCAAACTTACAGACGTCACAAGTAAATATTTTGCAAGTAATCTCCACCTTTTTTTCAATAGCATTTCGCTCCCTGTGTTTGCAAAACACATGCGACTGCAATGTCAAATTCCTCCGCAATTTTAATCTGCAATACGGACATTTGATGTTTCTAAGCTGTTTTTTGGCAGGTTTGCATGTTCTTATATGGGATAAATAATTTTGATACTCTGTTGTGCCAAATTTACACATTTTACAATTAAATACGTCTGTTTTTATTATAACTTCAACCATGCTTTGGGGTATTACTCCATGTTCTCCTTTGATGGAATTATTCCTAAAACAAGGTCGGTTTTAGTTTTAGGTTATGTAAAAGTGTTTTAAAAGGTTGATAGTAAAATATTTGCTTTGGAAATAAAAGTCTTATTATCTAAATTTGCATTTATTAAAAATTGGAATAGGAAATACCAAAATTTCAACAACAGGTGTTTGATAATTCAATTGTTGTCGTAGTTACTGAAGGGCGAATTCTTGAAGGTCCTCCAAAATAGACTTCGATAGCATTGCGTGAATTTGAGAATTGTCAACAATGCATTTAAAGCACAGATTATACATCGTTTTTAAGTAAAGAGAGGAAGGCACTCAACGCTTAAATGCTTATATTGTTACGTTAGTGTGTGCATTTTATCTAAGGGTTTATGGTGAAATATTGTGTTTTTAATTGTAAATAAAAATCAAGAACTAAATCGTTGCATTTTCATGTTTTGCCAAAGGATCCAATTCGGTAAGTACATTTGTTGGTGAAGAATTAACTAATGATAACTTTACCTAATATAATTTATATTTAAGTTTGGACATTTTTAAGAAATTAGTAAAAAATAATTTTTGCACAAACATAACCTTAAAATCAACCATTTTTATATTTGAGTTCTCTAAAAAACGCCGACAATTGCATTTTAAACCACAAAATATACCTACGAATTCATGGCAACATAATATTATATATATAATACTTAATATAAAGGTATTTTACCGTTGAATGGAGACTTTTTTAATCAACGCTTTTAATAATGCTAAATGCTGTTAGACTCTTTATTTGTTTGACGACTTTTACTGAATTGAAATGTTTACACTTTTCACGTTAATCACTACTAAAATGTGTATTTATTGTATCTACTAGGTACAATTTATATTTACAGACACTGTATGCAGTTTATTTCTTCATTCAGATTAACCCTGTTTATTGGAAAACCGGTAAAAACTCAACCCCGGATTTCCTCTCGAAATACACCCAACAACACAACAAATCGAGCCAAACACTCGTTTGTAAATTAAGCGTTTGACAGCTGATTATTAAAAGTTGTACTTTTGTTACGATGATAACAGTCGAGTGATGGCGCTACTAGCGATACTTTTTTAGCGTATTAAAAATGTAGTTTGATGTATTTAAGGTTGAACTATACTGACAATTGACATATTATTTTAAAATCAAACCATCGCCTACTTTGTTAGTTAGTTTCATAGGTCTCGTAAACGAAGCCTTAAGTAAAATTTTTACAAGAGTGATTTTTTTTGTAAATTGAACAGGAAATTTGATTTTTTTTTAATATCCAGTGGCGTAGAAGATAGGGAGTGAAAAGTTAAACAACTACGCCATTGGACAGTTTTAACAAAAGTACCTATATATTTAATGAGTACTTGTACCAAATTAGGTCAAAAACTTTGAAGGGCTGTATTGTCCTTAGAAAGCGTTTTGGTGAAAAACATGCATGTCGACTTATTTTTCGATGGACCATCGAATGGTGAATGATTGTTACTACAACCTGGACCATCCTGTAAATTATCTTGAAAAGGGTTCTTATTTGATGAAACTGTTTCTAAAAAAGTTGGTTTTAGTTCTTAAACTAAAAAAACACCATTTAGACTATATGGTGTTTTTCAGTTTAAGAACTAAAACTAACTTTTATGTATTATAGAGGTCTAAAAATGAAGCTACAAAATACAAAATATTTTTATATTAAAGTAATAAATTAACACAAATAAACAAAGAAAACACTGACATATAAAAATATATCCTTTTTTACAAAATATTGCAATTTGTATCTCAATAGGTTTTGATGAATCATGGTAATAGGTACCATATATACTAATACATGTATCTACATTAGTAGCTTTCACATGTATTGTTGATATTTAGGAACTTTCAGTCTCATATGGTTATAAAGTTAAACTAAGTAATGAACTTATAAACATACCTATAAACAAAACAAAATTTCTAAAGAACGTAATATAAACAGTACATACAAGTTAAAGCATGAATCATGGTACTAAGTACCATATACAACCATTGTTGATATTTAGGAACTTTCAACTCTCATTTGGTTTTAAAGATAAATTTTACTTAAAACTAAGTAATGGACTTATAGGTATATAAACAAAATATTTTTTCTTAAGTACATAACAGAAATAGTATACACTAGTTAAAGCATAAATCTTGGTACTACCGTTGTTGATATTTGGGAACTTTCAGTCTCATTTGGTGTCAACTTTAAACTTAAATGTAAGACATGGACATAAGTCTATAAAGACATATACTTAAACAAAATATATTTTTTTTTAAATATTGCAATTTGTATCTTAATTGGTTTTAATGAATCATGGTAATAGGTACCATATTTACTAATACATGTATATATATTAGTAGCTTTCACAAGTATTGCTGATATTTAGGAACTTTCAGTCTCATGTGGTTATAAAGTTAAACTAAGTAATGAACCTATAGACAAAAGAAAATTCCTAAAGGACGTAATAAAAACAGTACATACAAGTTAAAGCATGAATCATGGTACTAAGTACCATTACAACCATTGTTGATATTTAGAAACTTTCAACTCTCATTTGGTTTTAAAGATAAACTTTACTTAAAACTAAGTAATAGACTTATAGGTATATAAACAAAATATTTTTTCTTAAGTACGTAACACTAGTTAAAGCATAAATCTTGGTACTACCGTTGTTATTTGGGAACTTTCAGTCTCATTTGGTGTCAAAGTTATACTTAAAGGTAATAAATGGACATAAGTCTATAAAGACAAATAAACAAAACATTTTTGGCAATATTTGTGAACTTTCAGTCTCATTTGGTGTTAAGTTAAACTTAAAGCTAATAAATGGACAAAAGTCTATAAAGACAAATAAACAAAATATTTTTTCCACATGACTTAACAGAAGCATAAAAAGTACGTTAAACTATAGCCAGTCTCATATTTGTTGCTAAGCTAAACTTTACTTAAAATAAGTAATATACTTTGGTATTAACAAAAAATAAGAAATATTCTTCCATGTGTAAACAAAAACAAATATAAGTCTGTTACCCCAAATAAAGGGTGAACTTTAGGAGTACAACTAAACAACTAACAAATCTTAAATCCTCGTATAAAAAATAGGCTTAAATCTACTTAATCGTTTTTGTTACTTCGACAATCAGCAATATGAATTGCAAAAACATTTCTGTCCAGCGTGCTATATGAGCACCGCTTGCACTTGTGAATAGGCTCGGTGATCCTGACCTTCTTCTCCCGCCTATTTTGAACTCTGTGGTGATTGTAAACGTGATTCTGCAGGTCGATATTTAACCTTGGTTCGTATGTGCAGAAAGGGCAGCTGAGTTTCTTCCAATGCTTTCTCTTGTGCAGCTTCAACATTTGTGCGTTCCCTGATTTGAATTCGCACTTGTCGCAAGCAGTCGCCTTCCTGATTGCATCGACGCGCTCTTTTGAACGACACAAGATTAAATGATGCGGAAACCATTTACTGTTTAGGGTGCTGTAAGAGCAAGAGGGGCATGTATACTTTCTCAAGGTTATCTTGATCTTCCGTTCGCTGTTGTTTTGTTCCCTGTGCTTGTAGTAGACGTGGTTTTGTAGGTCGAAGTTTGATCCAGTTTGATAGAAGCAATATGGGCATAGCCAATTTTCCCTGTGTATTTTAATGTGCGTTTGTAGTATCTTTAGATCGTTTGTCATAAAGTCGCACCGTTCGCATACGCGCGCATGTCTTCCATTTTTATTCATCGTCAAATTCGGACATTGACACAAGTGGCTCATGAAGCGGTCCTGAACTAGAGTGCTATAGAAACAACTGGAGCAAGAGTATATAGGCAATGTTATGTCGATTTTCTGTTCTATCTCGTTTTCTCGTTTATGGTAACCATATACATATTGCTGTAATTCAGTTGTCAATCGTGTTTGGTAGCTGGATAAACAATTGCCTTCCAATGTGTTCTTCGATGTATCATCATTTTCTTTATTTCATCGCTCGAGAAATCGCATACTTCACATGTGTACATACTTCCTAGTAAAAGTATCGCACGTTTTAACATGTTCCATATATAAGTCTTTTTTAAAGGTTCTATACAAACATGTCTTGCATATATAATCTTTAATAGTTATTTTCACTAGGTTTTCATGATAATTTCGTCTGCCATGTACGAATAATACTGCCCAACTATGGAGAAAGGCAGTAACTGCTAAACAAGAAATCTGTGGAAAATTGTCATAAACTAAATTTTTATTAAAAGCAGTAGATATTTAATTGATTTATTTAACTTATGAGATAGTTTACTGCATTTCTTAGTTGAATTAAGATACAAAATGTCCATAACTTTATCATACCACAAGAAAACGTATTAAGATTTTTTTTGTAGTTACTGCCTTTTCCATAGTAGGGCAGAATACATGTTCCTGAAGCTCGAATTTTTTTTTCGTTTTAAATGCAATTCCGACACAGCATTATTTTTTGCTTTAGTTTGCGGCGTTTTTTTGTTACAGGTTTTGTTTTTTTTTCAATTTAAAGATAGATAAAGGTCTAAAAATGAAGCAACAAAATACAAAATATTTTTATATTAAAGTAATAAATTAACACAAATAAACAAAGAAAACACTGACCTATAAAAATATATCTTTTTTACAAAATATTGCAATTTGTATCTTAATAGGTTTTGATGAATCATGGTAATAGGTACCATATGTACTAATACATGTATCTATATTAGTAGCTTTCACATGTATTGTTGATATTTAGGAACTTTCAGTCTCATATGGTTATAAAGTTAAACTAAGTAATGAACTTATAAACATACCTATAAACAAAACAAAATTTCTAAAGAACGTAATATAAATAGTACATACAAGTTAAAGCATGAATCATGGTACTAAGTACCATATACAACCATTGTTGATATTTAGGAACTTTCAACTCTCATTTGGTTTTAAAGATAAACTTTACTTAAAACTAAGTAATGGACTTATATGTATATAAACAAAATATTTTTTCTTAAATACATAACATAAATAGTATACACTAGTTAAAGCATAAATCTTGGTACTACCGTTGTTGATATTTGGAAACTTTCAGTCTCATTTGGTGTCAACTTTAAACTTAAAGGTAAGACATGGACATAAGTCTATAAAGACATATACTTAAACAAAAAATGTTTTGGTTTTTTTACAAAATATTGCAATTTGTATCTAAATAGGTTTCATGAATCATGGTAATAGGTACCATATATACTAATACATGTATATATATTAGTAGCTTTCACAAGTATTGTTGATATTTAGGAACTTTCAGTCTCATGTGGTTATAAAGTTAAACTAAGTAATGAACTTATAGACAAAAGAAAATTTTTAAAGTACGTAATAAATACAGTACATACAAGTTAAAGCATGAATCATGGTACCATATATAACCATTGTTGATATTTAGAAACTTTCAACTCTCATTTGGTTTTAAAGATAAACTTTACTTAAAACTAAGTAATAGACTTATAGGTATATAAACAAAATATTTTTTCTTAAGTACGTAACACTAGTTAAAGCATAAATCTTGGTACTACCGTTGTTATTTGGGAACTTTCAGTCTCATTTGGTGTCAAAGTTATACTTAAAGGTAATAAATGGACATAAGTCTATAAAGACAAATAAACAAAACATTTTTGGCAATATTTGTGAACTTTCAGTCTCATTTGGTGTTAAGTTAAACTTAAAGCTAATAAATGGACAAAAGTCTATAAAGACAAATAAACAAAATATTTTTTCCACATGACTTAACAGAAGCATAAAAAGTACGTTAAACTATAGCCAGTCTCATATTTGTTGCTAAGCTAAACTTTACTTAAAATAAGTAATATACTTTGGTATTAACAAAAAATAAGAAATATTCTTCCATATGTAAACAAAAACAAATATAAGTCTGTTACCCCAAATAAAGGGTGAACTTTAGGAGTACAACTAAACAACTAACAAAACTTAAATCCTCGTATAAAAAATAGGCTTAAATCTACTTAATCGTTTTTGTTACTTCGACAATCAGCAATATGAATTGCAAAAACATTTCTGTCCAGCGTGCTATATGAGCACCGCTTGCACTTGTGAATAGGCTCGGTGATCCTGACCTTCTTCTCCCGCCTATTTTGAACTCTGTGGTGATTGTAAACGTGATTCTGCAGGTCGATATTTAACCTTGGTTCGTATGTGCAGAAAGGGCAGCTGAGTTTCTTCCAATGCTTTCTCTTGTGCAGCTTCAACATTTGTGCGTTCCCCGATTTGAATTCGCATTTGTCGCACGCAGTCGCCTTCCTGATTGCATCGACGCGCTCTTTTGAACGACACAAGATTAAATGATGCGGAAACCATTTACTGTTTAGGGTGCTGTAAGAGCAAGAGGGGCACGTATACTTTCTCAAGGTTATCTTGATCTTCCTCTCGCTGTTGTTTTGTTCCCTGTGCTTGTAGTAGACGTGGTTTTGTAGGTCGAAGTTTGATCCAGTTTGATAGAAGCAATACGGGCATAGCCAATTTTCCCTGTGTATTTTAATGTGCGTTTGTAGTATCTTCAGATCGTTTGTCATAAAGTCGCACCGTTCGCATACGCGGGCATGCTTTCCATTTTTATTCATCGTCAAATTCGGACATTGACACAAGTGGCTCATGAAGCGCTCCTGAACTAGAGTGCTATAGAAACAACTGGAGCAAGAGTATATAGGCAATGTTATGTCGATTTTCTGTTCCATCTCGTTTTCTCGCTTATGGTAATCATATACATGTTGCTGTAATTCAGTTGTCAATAGTGTTTGGTAGCTGCAATATGGACAAACAATTTTCTTCGAGTGTCTTCTTCGATGTATCATCATTTTCTTTTTTTTATCGCTCGAGAATTCGCATACTTCACATTTGTACTTCCTAGTAGAAGTATCGCACGTTTTAACATGTTCCATATATAAATCTTTTTTAAAGGTTTTATACTCACATGCCTTGCAAATATACTTTTTAATTGTTATTTTCACTAGGTTTTCTTGATAATTTTGTTTGACATGTCTGCGTACTACATGTTCCTGAAGCTCTAAATTTTTTTTCGTTATAAAAATGCAGTACGGGCACAGCATTATTTTTTGCTTTAGTTTGCGGCGTTTTCTTGTTACAGGTTTTGGTTTCTTAAATTTAAACCCGTCCTCCATGTTTATCCTGTAATAGAGGGTAAGCGTTAGTGTTAGTTGGAGTATGAAAAAAGTGTTATTTTTATGTAGGTGAAAGGAAAATGTGTAAAAATGTGTTATGTGTATAAATTGTGTAAAAGCAATAAATAAAAGTAAATAAACCTGAAAATGACATAAATGCGTTATAAATTATTATTTTAGAGTAATGCATTGAGTTAATATAAAAAAAACTATTGATTACTACCATACTGTTTGTGCACTGCACTGGCACTATAAAAAGCAAAACATTTGGTAAAGAAATTTAAAATTGGGCGCAGTAAGGATTAAAATGATATTTAGAAGCAATTAAACATGCTGTATCACAATAAATTTGCAAATGAATGGTAACTGAATGAATATATAATCTAAACGGTATTCCAAAATATTTAGTGTAGTCTGATCTAAAATTAAAAAATTGAAACACCTAATAAACTAGCACTGCACTGGCACTAAAAAACAACACAAATTTAATAAATAAATTTAAAAATGGGCGCATAAAGCATTAAAATGCTATTTAGAAGCATTTAAACATGCTGATTCACAATAAATTTGCACTTATACAGTTAAAACATCACTAAAATAAGTGAAAACAACTTTCAAAAAAATGTAATGTCTTAAGAGAAATATATTTTAGGTAAAACCAACTTTTAAAACTTAAAATTAATGGTAACTGGTAACAAGGGTATCAAAATTTTCAGGGTTAAAAATAAAAAAAATGGAAACACCTAAACAAACTAGCACTGCACTGGCACTAAAAAACATCTCAAATTTGGTAAAGAAATTTTAAAATGAGGCGCAGAAAGCATTAAAATGCTATTTAGAAGCATTTAAACATGTTGATTCACAATAAATTTGCACTTATAGTTAAAAATGTAATGTTTTAAGAGAAATATATTTTAGGTAAAACTAACTTTTAAAACTTAAAATTAATGTTAACTGGTAACAATGGTAACAAAATATTCAGTGTTTAAAATTAAAAAATGGGAACACCTAAACAAAGTAGTACTGCTCTGGCACACAAGTTTGGTAAAAAAAAATTAAAATGAGGCGCAGAAAGCATTAAAATGCTATTTAGAAGCATTTAAACATGCTGATTCACAATAAATTTGGACTTATACAGTTAAAACATCACTAAAATAGGTTAAAACAACTTACAAAAAAATGTAATGTTTTAAGAGAAATATATTTTAGGTAAAACTAACTTTTAAAACTTAAAATTAATGGCAACTGGTAATATTCAGTGTTAAAAATAGAAAAATGGGAACACCTAAACAAACTAGCACTGCACTGGCACTAAAAAACATCTCAAATTTGGTAAAGAAATTTTAAAATGAGGCGCAGAAAGCATTAAAATGCTATTTAGAAGCATTTAAACATGTTGATTCACAATAAATTTGCACTTATACAGTTAAAAATGTAATGTTTTAAGAGAGTATATTTTAGGTAAAACTAACTTTTAAAACTTAAAATTAATGGTAACTGGTAACAATGGTATCAAAATTTTCAGGGTTAAAAATAAAAAAATGGGAACACCTAAACAAAGTAGTACTGCTCTGGCACACAAGTTTGGTAAAAAAAAATTAAAATGAGGCGCAGAAAGCA